GGGGGAGGTGAGCCCACCTTCCGTGGGGACCTGGTGCCACCTGGTGGCCACGGGCCGGGGAGTGATCGCGGACCGACCTGCCCAGCCCCTCAGAACAGCTCAGTTCCCGCTGCAAATAAATGAAACTGCACCGACAGGGAAACACCACAGACTGGTTTGGGTTGGAGGGACCTCAAAGATCATCCAGTCCCAACCCCCTGCATGGGCAGGGACACCTCCCACCAGCCCAGGCTGCTCCAAGCCCCATCCAACCTGCCCTTCAACACTGCCAGGGATGGGGCACCCACAGCTGCCCTGGGCAACCTGGGCCAGGCTCTCACCACCCTCACACTCCACAATTCCCTCCTCATGTCTCACCTCAATCTCCCTCTGCCAGTTTTCATCCATCCCCCCTTGTCCTCTCCCTCCCTGCCCTTGTCCCAAGTCCCTCCCCAGCTTTCCTGGAGCCCCTTCAGGCCCTGGAAGCTGCTCTAAGGTCTCCCTGGAGCCTTCTCTTCTCCAGGCTGAACACCCCAACTCTCCCAGCCTGTCACCGTAGGAAATACCTTTGAGCAGCTGAAACTGACCCTGAAAAGCCCCCTGAGAGCAGATCCCTGCCTGTGCTGCTGCCATGAACCAAACCCAAGCACAAACCCTGCCCAGGGCTTATGACCAACACCCCAAGATTTTTTGTAGCCATTTTTGTAGGGCGAGGGAGGTGGTGGAGCTTGGAGCAACCTGGGCTGGTGGGAGGTGTCCCTGCCCATGCAGGGGGTTGGGACTGGATGGTCTGGAAGGTCCCTCCAACCCAAACCAGGCTGGGATTTTATGGTCCCCACTCACATCCCCCATGGCTGGGTCCCGGTGGTGCCTCAGCCCCCATAGCTGGGGAGGAAGGTCCCCGCTCCCTCCCCTGTAGTCAAGGAGTATCTATGTCCCAGCCTCTATAGCTTGTGGGGACAGGGGTCTCAACCCCTCCCCTCCAGCCTGGGCCCAGCTGTGTCCCAGCTCCTATAGTGGGGTCTGGCTGCTTCCCCCCCTGATACCTACAGGAGGGTCTCAGTTCCCTCAGCTATAGGCGGGACGTGCCCGTCCTCTGGTCCCTGCAGCCAAGGGGGTCTCAGCCCAAGCCGCTATGGCCAGAGCTCACCTACACACCCCCCCCCCCCTACAAG